AGGAAAGGGGAAGAGGAGAGAAGACAGTTTTACTGTTTTTTGCTTGGCAACCACTATTGTAAAATGTGATAAAAGGAGTAATTCCAGGAGTGGATTTGTATTTCCAAATGTTACTCGGCGTACCAAGCTGGACAAAACTATTTTTTTTTTTTTAACTCCAGACAAAACTGTAGCATTTGAGGAACCAGCAAAAATAAGGAGAGCTTAAAATCTCCACTTCTGCAACTTTCCAGGATGTTTTTGTCCCTTGAATTGTGGTGGCTGTGGGATGTTGTGGTGGCTGTGAGGAGTGGGAGCACTACTGCGTAGTAGCAATTTTGCAGATTTCATCCAAATAATTTATTTCAACCTCCTGGCCAGAGTGTTTCCCAGACTTTTTTTATATGTAATAGCTGCACCCGATACAGACGGAAGCCAGAAATACGTACTGTTGTGTATTTGTCTTGTCATATTTCTAAACACTGCCTGTTACCCAGAATGTGGGCTATCCTTGTGTTTGCCTGAAAAGCAGTAGCCAAATAGCGATTTAATGTGGTTAACAGGTCGTTCAAGAATCATAGAATCATTTAGGTTGGAAAAGGCCTTTCAGATCAAGTCCAACAATTAACCTAACACTGCCAAGTCCACCACTACACCATGTCCCTACACACCACATCTCCAGGGCTTTTCAATATCTCCAGAGATGGTGACTCCACCACTTCCCTGGGCAGCCTGTTCCAATGCTTGACAGCCCTTTCGGTGAAGAAGCTTTTCCTAATATCCAATTTAAACCTCCTCTGGCGCAACTTGAGGCTATTTCCTCTTGTCCTATCACTTGTTACTTGGGAGAAGAGACTGACAGGCACCTCGCTCCAACCTCCTTTCAGGTAGTTGTAGAGGGCGAGGTGGTCTGCCCTCACCCTCCTTTTCTCCAGGCTAAAGAAGCCCAGTTCCTTCGGCTGCTCCTCCTAAGACCTGTGCTCTAGAGCTTCCTTGCCGTTCTTTGGGCACACTCCAGCACCTCAATGGCTTTTTTTCTAGTGAGGAGCCCGTCTATCATTCTGTCACTTTTTCTGCACAGAAGGAAGTTTTTGTGAACATCTTCCACCTTTGGTAATAACGGCCCTCTCCACAGCCATAGTGCATGAAGAGCTTTTATCCTCACTTGTATTTTTATCCTCCTCTGTACATCTTTAAACAGTGCAGGCTGAGGTAGGTTGGTTGCGGTGATGTAGTGTGGCTGTTTTGGCTCTTGGCATTGCGAACTCCAGTGGCTCTGCACTGTCTTCCCCAGTGGGACAACATTTAGTAGTTCTCCACAGTGCAGACAAGCCCTTACTGTGCGCTGTTTGTTACCCCACCTGGGGTTTGGATTTCGGGTGTCTTTGGTCCTTGTACAGCAGTTTTTGCACATGAACAGATAGGAGTTGAGCCGGTCAGGTCCTTGCTAAGCTGATCTCCACTGGAAGTTGCTCGTGACGTAACCAGGAGTGTTGGAGCGAGAATTAAGTCTGTATGGCTTGGGGAAGTCCAAAGGGAACTGCTGCACCTTGGGATTCAGCTGGAAACGTATCACAAAGTTGCTCTGAGGCCAGACGGGGAACATACTATGGTAGCAAAATGTCTGAACTGGTAACTTATCATTAATGCTCATTTTGCATTATATTGGCATTTATTTTGAGATTTCTCCCTGTATAAAAATTGCTGTCTGTTTTTGTCTTTCACCACTGTAGTATCTGGACCTTTCACAAACTCTAGATGATTTACCCTCATAGCGTTTGTGTTTTGGCCGTGGTTTTATTGCCATCTGTGCGATGGCTCAAGTGCAATTGAGGGATGGTTTCTAAAAAAAAAGATAAATACAAGTATTGAGCTAATTACAGCATCTAGATTAGTAAGACTTTCAGCATTTTTGACCATATCTGTGGTAACTCACCCAGGAAGTGTTTTACTGAACTGTATGGTTGCTACCACAGAGTTAGCCCTCGGGAAGAAACAACAGTTGTGTATATATAGAAGGAGGAGAGCTGATGGAGGTGGCAGACTGTGCTTGTTCTTTTCTGGGCTGGCTTGCTGGAAGAGTTAGCTTGGCTACTTCTTCAGTGATAACTTTAATGTGGTCTGTGGGTGAATATGATAGGAACTCCTGCTCATTCGAGGTTCTTCTGTATTAGGTTTTTGGTTTGATGATGGAATGAGAATAGGATGCACTCCTTTAGATAACAGCCTCCTCCTGTTCAGTGGTAAAAATCTATCTGTAGTCATCCTGTACCACGTTGCTGCAATATTTGATGTTCTAGATTGGTTGCTGCTATTATTACACTTTCCAAAGCAACAGAGTTAAATAGAAATTGTTTGGTCTAATACAATGGCTATCTTTCCTCTCAAGTCAAAATTTTCTGTCTTTGCATTGCTTCACCAGAAAAGTCCTATATTATTCAAATATTTCTTCTTATTATTCTAAATTTATATTTTCTTTTATATTACACATCTTCTGACCTCAAGTTAGCTGACTACCGGTTAACTCAAGATGGATAAGAGTTCTGTAAATAGTCAGAGAGTTTCTGCCTAAATGTTTTGTTCTAGGATTCCGATGTTTGTTCTTTAATCCCTGGGCTCAGTCATGGAGAAAATGCACCTCTTGCAAAACTGACTCTGCCCTTTCAAGTGCTACCAGGTTGCAAACACCACACTTACTTCTCTTTGATGTCAGACAGACACAGCACCAATTTCAAGTTTACTTGTTGCTCAGGCAAAGACGGAACCTGGATGAAAAGCAGCTGTTTTAAAAACTGGGCTCAGAAGGATGCTATGAAGTTTTGCAGGCTTGTGCTGCATAAGGTTGCTTGGATCCGTGCACGTTTGGGAGGTGACAAAACTGGTCTTTGTGGTGATGGTTGTTCTGGTTAGGCTTTAGCAGAGGCTGCAGCAGTTTGCAGAAGCACAGGGATGACATTCAGTTGGGATTTTCTACTGTGGGGAATGCTTTGAACTTTTCTGCTCCCAAAAGCACCTTGAGGGAAACTTTCTCTCCTTTTTAAGGCTGTCTGAGCATCAGGATGCGTTTTGCTCGTGAATATTGGCCACACAGGTAGCTGTTGTAGCATAAAAGAACCAAAGCCATGAAATCCAAGAACTAAATCTTGTCACTCGTCTAATATGAGCTAGGCTGTAGACCAGTCTGTGCTTGGATACACGATAAACTGTGTGCCATCGTGATCTTCAGGCATGAGTATTGCAGCTCACAGCTAGCAATGAAGGATTTTAAACCACTGTTCCTGTGATGCACTCTCTGTGTTTTCTCCTCTGATGGTTACACAAGCCAGCCCAGAAGTTGCCCTCCCTGAGAATTTTCTTGAAAAAAGTCCATGTATAGACTCATGCAGTCTCTGTAGAAACCATATTATTTATGCATAAACAGAATGGAAAATGCAAGGTGGGAGGAGTTACTGCTGTACCGAAACGGGACGGGGGGGAGGAGGAATCTAGCCAAGTCCTGTGCGAGAGTTGAATCAGCGATTGGAGAGCTTGGAGGCCTGGAGCTGCTGTGGGCATGGCAGCAAGTGCAAAGGGGAAGATGTGGGAAGAAGGGGACAGGGAGGAAGGAGGGACCTCTTAATTCTTTTTTTGAACAGCAGTCTGCCTGGTGTGGAGCTGCAGCCAACCCTCTGAAATGAAACTGTGAAAGACATTTAGAAGACGCAAGAAGGGGTTAAGTAGGAGATGGGTATTTCCCCCCCCTCCTTTTTTTTCCTGTCTAAATGTTGTTTAAAAGAGAAGTTATTTATCTTGGATGCCATTTTTACCATTGATAGTCTCTTTCTTCAGCTTGCTTGGTAGCATAATCAGCAGTTCTGAAGCCAGTTATTAGCAGGAGGATGATTTGCAAATTTTAATGAGTGGGCTGCAGCTTTCAAATGCACTTATTATTTGCCCTCCCTCTTCCCCCCCTTAATATTTGGCCTCCTGTTTCCTGAATAATATGATGCCATAGCTTCTGGTTCACCGATGAGATGCAAGGATGTATAACTTGGGGGGAAAAATAGAAAATGCCTAAGTAAAAAAAACTCTTAGGGTACATTAAACCACTTGCTGTGACTAGGAACCAAGTGTTTTGGAAGCTACTGGGAAAGCAAGAGCATCACACTGAAGGCCTGGTGTGTAGCTTGGCCTCAGAATCTGAATCAATAAGTGACATCCTTAAGTAGGTCACTGTCTTTCTCAAGTGGGTTGGTTCAGCACCTTGGGTCAAGGCATGTCCATCGATATGTGAATTTTAAGAGCAAAAGAGCTACGGGTGAGCTTACGCGTTCTGTTGGAAGAAGACTGCTGCACCTTGTGTGTCGTGGAGCTGGTGCAAAGTGCTTTTGAGTTGTTGAGTAAACAACTCTGTGGTTAAAAGCCCAGGGCAAATTCTTTGCCTCCTGTTGAAGTCAACAGAAAACTTGTCCCTGGCTTCAGAAGGTCGGGGTTTTGGTCTCTGTTGGTCCTAGCTACATGACAACTTTCAGCCATGCTCACAACTCTGACATCAGTATTAGTGATGGAGACTGGAAGTAAATAAAAGAGTTTTTCAGGCAACGGACTACGTGTCATAGCAATGAGACCGAAAATGCTTAATGTGTAAACCTTTATTGTTTTGTACCAAAGACTTCTTTTACACAAATTTTGAACTAATTTAGGATGCCTAGACATGCTTTAATGGTCAAGAGAAGCAGGTTTTAGAGAAGTATGATACATTTCCCCTATCAACTGTCTTTACTCGTCTGCTTTTTTCCTAACAGAAATTAACACATGTGTTCTGTACAAATATTTTACATTAATTTTGAATGTTCTTTACCAGTTACTGAACTGTTTCTATTCACAGTGAATTGTTAGTAATTTACTGCCTCTTATTGTGTGTGTGCCTTTGAATTTTATGAATCAAGTATGGGTATGTGGGGGTGTGTGTGTATGCATAGATAAATAAAGTACAGATGTTTTAAAGTGTGTTTCCTCACGTGCAAGTTTTAATTTTGCAGACGATATCAGAAATTGCAGAAGATAATGAAGCCCTGGTAAGAACCTGATTAGATCATCACCTTGCACACTTCCTCCTCTTTTGCATGACTGAGTTTAGGCCCTTGCACTAATCTTTGTATGTAAATACAACTGTGAATATTCATTCAGCCAGCCTTCAACATTCTCTGTTTTCTTCTCTTTGATGCCTGTTAAAATTTTCTGATGAAGCCTTTTTTGCTTTGCTTGTGGAATGGGTGCTTCATTTCTGTAACTTCTGCAGAGGCTTCTGCTATTTCCTAAGTAAGGCTTTTGTTTTGTTTTTTAATTTGAGCAGACAAATCATTTCCCTGCCTTCCCCAATTCCCCTTTTAAATTTATCTGGCTGGCATGATTGATAGTAGGCAATTTTAGTTGTTGATGTTAGTGAGATGAAAGTAAGAGTCATTGTGTGGGTTTGAATTCCTATTATTTGCTGGTCCCAGGTAATGCTAGTTGTTGCAGATAACTGCATAAAAGAAAACTGTAGTAAAGGGCCTCATATCAGAAAGTTCAGAAGCATGCTTATTGCCCTGGTGATTTTGAATGGGACTCTTCTGTATGCTTAAAGTTAAGCACAGGCTTCATAGGCTTTGATAAACTGGGACCGCAAGAGATATTCTAATATCTTGATTGGCTTGCAAGTTTGACATGTGAAGTATAGCTAAAACACAAGGAAGCAAAAGAAAAATTAATCAATTAACCATGTATCTGTCACTCCGAGAGCTTGATGTAGTTTATTACGCAGGAAATGTAGCTCCCCATCTGAATCCATGCTAAATCATACTTTCACAAATCTGCTGTAAACCAAGTTTTGAAACATTTATTATTAAATCATTGCCTAATAAATAAATTAGACAGTAAGAATAAATTTGGCAGGAAATTTAAATCCTTCCTTTATGTTTGCTTTCTCAATAAAGTTACTTGTTTCATAATAGGAAAGTTTAGATCCTGAGGAAAATGACATAAGGCTTTTAGAATTCTTGGCAGCAACCCCCCTGCCTAGACAAGGTACCTCCTGTGCATTTAGATGGTGGATTTTTGCTCACCACTGTGAAAATAGTTCTGTGTGGAAGAAGAGTTACATTCCTTCAACATCTCTCTGTTTCCAATTTCTGTTATCCTGTAGGCTGCTCTACATTGAATTATGTGATTGTCCTCAAGACTACTAAAATAAGGACTTGTAGTTCCATTGCACCCTGGTTTTAGGACCTGATCATACTGATGATCTGAATTAATTATTTTTACACAGTTTAGTTTTGTTTACTGATGGGAGCAAGGCATTACCCACTTCAAGAGGATTCTTATTGATCAGTGTGGGTATAGCACATCAGTGGATGCAGTAGTAAAGAAAGTATACGTGACAAAAGTTTATTCTAACTTTGGAAATTAAATCCTGCCAGTAGAAGCTTTAATTTACAGTGGGGCATATGGTTTAATAGTTTGATTACCATCAGCAGTACATGAAATGATACAATTAAAATAACACAAATTCTTGAGTTTGGGGCTTGTACTAAAAAAGATACCAGAGCCATTGGTCAGAGTGTGAAACCAGTAGTTCTGGAAGCTGGCCTGTTCATATATTGTGAAGGTAAAGTGTACACACTAATGCTCTGTGAGTGTAGTTATTGAACATCTTGACTATTTTTCACCCATGTATTAATGGGAAAAGGTCCAATGAAACAAGAACTATAAAAAAAAAAAACAAACTCTCAGAGTTTGGTATAATGAACTTTAAAACTTTGCAGCCATCACCTGCTGTCTTCTTGACTAAAGAAACTTAAAGAAACCAAACAGTAATTAAAAAAAAACAAACTTACTTTTGATTTACAGGATGACGTATTTTATAAAGTGCCAGTATTTCATTTTATCTTTGGTAGCTTGCACATGCTAACCTGACTTAATTAAAACCTGGTTTTCAAAGAGAGGCCTCTTTTAATAGCTTGCTTCACTGAAGGAAGTTCTTATAAAATGTGAGTTTCTTTTTCTCTGTCTTTTCAGGTTTAGGGGTTCCTATTTTATTTTGGCATTTTCTTGATCCCATGTTGGGTAATACTTGCATTTAAAAAAAGATATAGTTCCCATGAAACAGCTCTATCAATTGACATGTGTATTGCAGTACAGAATAGTAGTCAAACCACGCTGATCGGAGAGCGATGTTTTTCCTGGGTAGTTATTCCTGGTCTTTTTAAGAAACACTGGTCCATTTAAGGCAATTACCATGAAATGAGCAAAACTAGGAATTTAAAAGATGAGGAATAAGAGAAGAGGTAATTCTAACCACATCTTCATGAAGAACCAGTGTGTAATGGTTCCTCTGGGCTAGTTTTGCATGCAGACAAATGCTTAATGTACCTCAAAGTGGATTTAGTCATACTGCCTAGTAAGGGTGTCTATGCCTGGATTTATTCAAGAATGGTTACAGTTCTGTTTAAAATTCGCAGCTTGTTTTCTTTAATCAGAGTTAATTATCAAGCTTAGAGAAGCCCTAATACCAGGGGTACAAAGCTATTTCAGGTTTTCGGAATACAAGTGGTTTAAAATCAGTAGGGCTGATCCCTTGTAATGAACGCAGTGAAACTGTAACACAAAGAAATATTTCAGTGGGGCTTGGCACGACGCAAAAAAAAAACACTGTGTCAATTGCAGTGCAGCAGTTAAGTGCATTTTCTGTAATCATCTGGAAAAATGGGGGCAGCTACCCCTCAGCCTGTTCAGTCATTTTCAACTGTACTGAGTAAGCACCAAGTAGGTGTGAATTGCTCCTAGCTTGATCTGATGGCGGCTTAGCTTCCCTCTTGGAAAGGTTACTTGAAGAAACAAGGCAGTGTAGAAGCAATGAAGAGGAGCCATAGCAATAAAAAAGGCACTTTTTCACGCTCTGCTTGCAAAGCATCCTGCTGCATCATCCGTCTTTGTTTTAGACTTAGTGAGGTTCTTGCCCCCATGGCTTTTCCAGAGCTCTTGTCCTCTGATGATTAGATATATTCTGCTCCCCTGTTTAAATTTATTCATGGCCATTTATCCTTGACAACTCTTAACTTAAAAGGTGGTTCTTACTCTTTGATGTTGACCTCAGTGATGTCAGGCCTTTCAGCTGCCCAGTATTAGGCTGTGAGCACAGTTGCTGAATGGTGAGGGACCAAAGTTAAGGAAGCAGTTAACTCCTGCATTTGGGAGCAGACTTCTGCTCTCTTCTTGCCTCCTGCCCAGTTAAAGTTGTTTCTTTGCTGCCTTCCCTCTGCAGAATTAGAGATAAGCTTTGGTTCTGTTTTGCCCGTGAAAAATGGTTTGTGGAAAGATGTACTGTCTTTGGCTTCTGGTCCTAATGGGCTGGTGGCTGTGTCCTGGTTGTGACAGACAAGCAACAGTCAATTTCCAGGTTCTCCTATGCAACTTTTATGAATAGAGGACATGAAAAGGTCTACCTAGCTTTATAAAAGCTCATATTGCCTTTTTTTTTTGTTGTTTTTGTTACCTGATGTCAGCTGAGCCTGACTGATTATCTCAATTCAAAGAATCATTTGAACAGCTGAATATTTTTTCCTCAATTGCAATATGATGTTCATTTTGGTATGTGTGTTAAACATGGATTGAGGTTTTTATGGTTGCCCCCACTCCCCCAACCATCTAGGGAATTTGGGCACTTAAGTCCCATTAATTTATTTTTATGAGAAATCCAAATTGCTTTAGGCATCTTTTAAAATACCATGTATATACATCTGAGGATTACTTAGCATACATGATACAAAGATGGCTTGGCATGTAGAAATGATACTAGGAAGGCAGGTGAGAGACCGATATGATGGTCAAGGTCACATGCACATTCCTGTCATTTTTGTTTTAAGGAAAGAAAAGCTAATATTGAAATGCATGGAAGTTTTTTTTTTCTTCACAGTTTCTTAAGGTAAGAATGCAGAAAATTCTTATGAACGTATATTAACAGACTTTGACCTGATATTTCTCTAAAACCTAGAGATGTGAAAGGCAACTGTTCACTGACTCTTCAGTCAGGTTTCTCTGAGGGGTTGAGGTGCACAGGCCATCCATCAGCACATGGCCATCCATCCACACTAGAACAGCTCACACTGGGACAGCCGGTGGTGTCACAGACCAAAGCTTGCTACTGCTTCTGAGGCTTTTGCTGATAGCTGCTGTGGATGTGGATGACCAGCTCACCCGTGCTCGCAGCGGTGGTTGGAAGAGGGGAGTCAGACCATCAGAGAATGGGGAAACTTCATCAGCTGTCCCAGCGTAATGTGTCCCCACCCGAGTGCCAGAGCCCTGAGCAAGGGAAGGATTGCACAAGTAGCTTGCTTGATCATTAAAATGTCAGTGTTTGTGAGGTATGAAATTGCAATTACATGGTGCATCTTTCTGATCATTTTCCCCCTCTTGCTGTGATGACACACATTAAAAAGTACCTTCATCAGGAATTACCATCAAACTATTAAGTCATTTTGCCAGAGCAGCATCAGTTTGATATTTACAGAACTGTCATGCTTTGTGCTGTGGATTAGTCTAAAAAGATTTTATGGAGAAAGAGGCCCCATCGTTTTTTTGACTTTTTGTGTAATTAAAACGCTTATTCACTGAGATTTTCAGTTAAACAGCTTCTACTATGTCTTTTCTAAGATTACTACTTTTATGAAAAAGCTTTGATTCACTTGAAATTTCCAGCATCTATTCTGTCTGCCGCTTTTAATAGTATGAGTGCGTCTGTGTGTGTGTGTATTGAAGTGAATTGCTTGGAAGTCTATTTCTACCTATCTGCTTGTGTTTAGACACATAACAATTAATCAACACCACTCCCTTTCCCCTCCAGATACTTTAATCCTTATCTTGCTCTAGTTACCCTGGAGATTGCTTTCATCTCTAGCTGTGCTATTCCTAGTGCTTATATCCTTTAAGCTTGCCTTTTGACTTTTGCAGTGCCGCCTAGTGTATACATGTGCGTGCAAATGCATACGTATGGCTATATATTTAAAAAAATACATGCTATATATGTGTGGTGCTGCATAATACGGCAAGTTGGAGTATTTTGTTCTGCTTGATTAGTCCCAGTGTTGCACCTCTTCACTCTCATTAATGATCTGAAGTGGTGTCACTGGAGTGACACCTGGTGGGGTGTCTGATCCTCTGAAGTTGAAAAGTATTTTCACCTTCTGGAGCCTAAACGGTTGTATCATTGTCACATCCACTAGAAACAGGTTTATATGCTGAGACCAGTATTTTCAGCTCGATTAACCCCGTTTCCCCTCCAAAACTGTGGAGGAGGCTGTGTTAATTGGCAGGATTAATCAGTAGTTTTGGTGAGAAGAATAATTGAGACTGTTGCATGTAAAGGAATTAAACTGAACTGAATTCCAGTCACTGGTGTTCTGGAGGTGAATATCCATTTGGGGGTTTAATATAGTTTAAATAACCCTTCTAGACTATACCCATTGTTAATGGGGATTAGCTTTCATGTACGACTAGTTTATAGAAGAGTCTTTATGTACTAAATGCAGGTTAATTGACTAAATTTTTAAATGATATACGAGAAAATCTAGGGGAGAGAAATGATCTGTTTAGTTTAATGCTGAGAAATTTTAGCTACTTTCAACCTATATGACCTAACTTTTTGTAAATTTTTTTATTTTTATTTGGATCTACTTTATCTCCTTAAAATATTAGAATTCCACATATTTATGATAGTATTCTGTCATGAACATGCATGAGAATTTGGTAGAAATTTTTATAAGGAAGCCTTTCCTAGGGGTGCTGTTTTATTTGTGGATTCATAAATAACCATTGTATGCAAAAGCAATGGGTTGAGGAAAATGACAGGACCGGAGCTGATTAAATTTCCTGCAGTCTTATTGTCATCTTGTTGTGAAATCCTTGGTTATTTGGAATGCTAATGATGACATTTTAAATCTAATTTAATTCTTGAAATATTTGCAATTTTAAAAAACAACCGACCACAACCAACCTCCCTACCTCCCAAAACAAAACCAAAGACTTCCGGGTCGTGTGTTTCGTGAACAAAATATTCCTTGCAGAATTACAGTGGATTTTTTAAAGGCACCGTATTTTTCTTGTTTGCTCTTTGATGCAGTTTTTTCATTTTGTCATAAACAGTCAAGAGTCACTGTGGGTACGCTTACTGTGGAAGAGAAAGGCGTGATTTGGGTTTTTCTGTTTTTACTCAAAAAATGTCAAGAATGGCAAATTTCTTTTTAGTGGAGGGCATCTGTGAAGTTTTAATGAGCGAGAGCTCCTGTCTTAAATGAAGGGGCCACTAAAGGCTCCATCTCACCATCAGAAATCCCTAAATGGCAGATTATATCATATCCAGTAAACTGGCTATTGGAGTTGCTACAGTGAAACTGTTTTTCTGCCTTTTTACCTCTGTACTGCAGTACACGACTTCCATCTGAATGGATGTTCACTTACTTGGGTGGGTTGGTGCAGGACAGCAGGGGAGCAAATCACAGAATAAAGATTACCGATCACATTGCTTAACTACGGCTATAGTATTAAACTCGGGTTTTGAACGTACTGAGCATTGTAGTTCCAATCTGACAGGTTTTTTTAATTTTATCTTTTTATTAGGTAAGCCATTGCATTAAAATCACTGGGACTATTCATGCAGTTTCGGTTGATTGTGTGCTTATGCTTGTTAATGGCGTAGTGGCCGAGTGCCTTGCGGGTGGTTTGCCGTGCCCTTAAAGGTAATACGCGGCTTGCTTTCAGGCTCTCTGCACTGCTGCTTGTATTGAGTAGCTTTCTCATTGAACGGCTTCATTGAAATCATTGTGGCTGCAGACTGTTCGGTGCCCTGACTGCATATGGAAATGAAGCTAACCTGTAAAAGCTGGTGTTTAATGTGGAAAATTCCTGTGCAGCTAGTCAGGTTAGAGAATATTCTTTATGTTGAGTTTAAACACATTTTGTATTTGGTTGAGTCAACAATAAGATGCATTGAATCTCACATTTACAGGTGTAAATTTACAGGTGTAAAATGCAGTGTAGTGGCCTGCAAACCCTAAACAATTTAAGCTGCATGCTTGGATGTACAATGGGAACTTTGCAATTCGCTTCACGTAGTTGCCCATAGATAAACAAAAGGAGATGCAGGTTCAAAGAAAGAAATCGAGTCGTTAAGTAGTGGAAAACTGCTGCTCAACAGAATATCTCTTCTGGTGTGTTTTAAAAATGTAGTTGCTTCCTTGTAAGAGAAGGAACAAACAATCCGCTAACTTTCTACCCATCTGCTTGATACAGCGGTACCAAAACGTGGCACTTCCGTATGACATTCAATTAGGAGCGTTTCCAGAAGTTGCGAAGAAAAGAGCTCACTTACTCTGTTAGATCTAAAGCTCTGAATTTATAAGAGGAGTTTAATTTGGGCTGTCTGATTTCCTTGAGCTTTGCATGTAGTGTTCTCCTGGGGATTAGTTCTTCTCTTAGAAAATTGCTTTCTTCCAGGTGACTGTTCCTGATGTCCATGCTAAATTGTTCTGGAGACTATCTGTTGCACGGCCTCTCTTGCTCTTCTGCTACCTCTTAGTCCATAATTGGCTTCATTTTCCTGCTTGCTGAAAGCTTCCTGCTGCTCTATCCCCTCGATCATTGCCCTGCTGCATTACTGGTAAATGTTATCATGACTACTGTCTCTTGCAGCTTTGGAGATATGTTGTCCTTTACACTGACTGCATTTGTTGAGCTGATGGATCATGGGATTGTATCGTGGGATACATTCTCTGTGGCATTCATTAAAAAGGTAAATTTGTAATCAATGCTGTCTGTTCCTATCAGTTTACATTTTTTAGGTGAGTCGTGGTTTGGGTTCTTCTTCCCACCTGGTACATTATTGAGGTCACTGACCAAAAGGGTACATGAAAATGGGATTAAAGTGCTAGTTCAAACTATAAATATTTGTAGTTGCAGGATCTGGCCCAAATTCTGCGGTAATCAGTGGGAGTGAAATGGAATCAACACTGTATTAGGCTTATGACACAAGAAACTGCTTGCTCAATTACAGTGTGACCTCCCTGTACAGATACCATGCAGTATTTTGATGTGATGTAATTTGAGTAATACCAGATTTCTTGAAAAAAAAACAAACAACCCAAACCAGCGCTGAAATGTTTCCTCTGGGGGTAGGGGAGGAAGAGAAATAGATTTACAAATTGAAATCAAGCTGGTATCTACTGAGTTTATCAAGCTGAACTCTGCCCCCCCCCCGAGTCTTGCAGCTGACATCTGTGGTTTTGAAACAGGTCTTTCCGCAATTTGCAACATTTTTTTCTTTTCTTACATGTAGGAGATGCACAAAAGCAGCAGAAACATGGGAGTACAGTTTAAGTACAGAGATTTAGCAGACTTCAGAAAAAAGTTTTTGCTACTGGTTTAACCCTTTTCGTTTACCATAAAAAAAATCCCCTCACACTTCAAAGAATTTTCAAACCAGATTGAACTCAGAACTTATCTTAGGTTGAAGTGTGTTTGTACAGGTTGAAAAGATATCAGAGTTACTTCACTAAAATGGTATCAGAAGAAGTAATGGAACGAATGTAACCTGTAGGAAAGATCGCTTAATTTTAACAGTATGTCAGAGCAAAGACTTTTAATTTAAATTTGGTTAGGAAATTACTGCCACCAACGGAAAGTATAAATTTATTTTTGTTGCCAAAAGTGAAAGAAGAGTCAGTTATGAAAAGAGTATTAGGTATTAAAGCTCAGTTTTAGTCATTAAAAATGATGGGTGCTATTTATAAGAAAAATCAGTATATTTGATCTGATTTTGGGACTCTTTTTTAATCCAATCTTGCTGTCTGGGTAGATTATGATGATGATGATTGTTACTTTTTCATGACAAAGTAAATAATACAGCTTTTTTTTTAACTGACTTCATGAGATACAAGGTCAAGCCCAGAATGCCTTATTTGTTAGGGAAGCTATTAAGAGGTGTATGAAGAAACTTGCTAAAATGAGTTTAAATCAATCTGCTTTGTTAGTGACTCTAAATTATTTTTTCAAACCCTATCAAGATCTTTTGCCCTGTGGGTTGTATAGTAACTATAGAAGAAAGTGGTGTGTGCACCCCTGTTAATGGCTTATCTCTTCGGTCTGCCACTTCTGTATGTTTTCCTGGACCCAATTTCAATAACAGAACAAAAGACACAAACAAGAGCATTCTCATGGAGTACCCATGAAAACCAAAACTGGCGAGTAAAAACCGTAAGTGAAACTGGTGGACAAGAAACGGACCAAGTAGAAGAACAAGACGGTTAGAGAAACAGAAGGACAAAGAATGACAAAAACTGGGGAAAGCGGTGTGGGTGCATCCTGACCTGCTGCGCAGTTGGGAGCCGTAACAGCAGAGCCCTCAGTGGGGCTCTGTGGGCAAGGGGCAAACCTAAAGGAGCACCTTCAGACCGTGTATCTCTGGTGGCAATCCACAGCTCTGTTCTCACTTGCTTCTCTGACCTTGGCTTTTGACAAGCCACTCGAGGTTGCTGATGGGCTCGCTCAAGTGCTCGACAGTATGGATAAGGGAGCTGATAAGTTTCTGACAGCCAAAGGGGAACTTTGCGATCAAGTGCTTCTGCCCTTTGAAGCTGTGTTTCATGTTTGTTAAATGGAAGCCAAACCGGAATGGCGAGGAATTAATCTGAACTTTTTTCTTGAGTAGACTTAAAATCTAGAAGTTGGAGGAGACATCAAGGGGAACCTCTAACTGCTTCTAAAGACTAACTGCTTAGTGTTGGATGCAGTCTCCTTCCCATCCTTCGGGTACATAAAGACTGCTATTCCAACTGCTGCAAGTAAGAGTTGACACATTCAAGGAGAGCTTTGTTCCTTGTCTTTCAGGAAAATAGTATCATTTGAAAAAGCTTCCTTATGATATGCAAGATTCTCTCAAGAACTTTTTCTTGCTTTTGACAATAAAGTTTATTTCCAGCTTCCATAGTTGGCTACAGGTTTTGGATGCCTGCTTCCTAGAAAATGTCGTAGTAATTGGATATCAAAATACACTATACAAATTTGGTATTCTCATTTTTAGTTCCTGCAAAAGGAGAAATAAAGTTTGTAGTAGTGGTTGAGATATTTTAAACTATCTCTTAGATTTATTTATGTAATTGCCTTTGCATAACTGTGTGATTCAGAGTCTTAACCTTGATGAATCGTTTACTCTGCCTTCTAAAAAGTACTGTGCAGGAAAGGGGGTGGCAGCAGGGAAAGTATCTCCGCCTCACAACTGTCAGTTGGTTTTTCTGTAGTCAGGTGCAGCTCTAGTTCCTCACTTGAAAAGGAGATGCATGCTTGGAATTTTTACTATGTGTTAGGACGTAACAGAGAACAAAACTTTGTCAGATTTTTGTGTACATTTCTGATACCAAAATGGTCCAGGCAAATAACTCATGAACGTACCACTGCTCAGAATATCAGATCTGTTTCTTTCACTGTTCTTTCCCTGTGTGTTTTTTGGTGGTGGTGGTGTTTAGTTTGTTTGTTTTAATTTTTGTTTTTTAACTTTTGAATTCTCTCCTGTGCTTTAAATGATTCTGAAACTGGAAGAGAACTCAGATTATGTTTAGTTTGCTGTAGGTTTCTTGTCTACCCTCACGTTACATGTTTAGCTCCTGTTTCACCAGAGCACTGGGACTGAACGTGTAAAGGTATTCTGATTCCTAATTTCCCTTGAAATCATCTGGAAGTTAAGCACCCAGCCACTCCTTTTGTATGTGGCTATATATGTCCCGATAGGACTAGGCAGATATTACAGGTATTTTACTGAACAAATAGTTTTATCCTTTGAGACACACCCATGTGACAGGATTTCACACGAAAGTGCAAAACAATGAAGTTGCTTATTTCTGGAGGAGAGGTGGTATTTCTGTGAGCTTGCATTATTTTTATCAGCAGAATTTTTGATAAATGCCTGCAGGATTCTGTTTTGGTTGTTGAAAGCCCTCCCTGCTTGTGGTACTCAAGAAGCAGAGAACAGCAAATAACACAAATTTGAACTTTGGTTGATTCTTGTATTCTTGTCTCTTTTCAAGAAGGGTCTTTTTTTTTTTTTTCCCCACATCCAGAACTTTAAGTATGGTAATAGAATTTCTGTTTGATCTAATTTTACTCCCTCTGGAACTGGCATGCCATATCTATCAGGGTAGACAAGCCTGTTATTTCTGTCCAGACACCATAACCACCAGGTGGTTATGAATGTACATAGCTTGACATGCAAGTACCTAGCACATGTTTTGCATGTATGTTCAGTGTCATATGTCACGCACAAGCCAGCTTCATACCTTAGGTTTGGGTTTATCATTAAAAGACGTTATGGTCCAGGATCAGAAGAACAAATACATCTGTAATCTATAGTGTTACGTTTCTGCAGGCCCCTGATATGAATATGTCTCAGTGAAGCTTTTACGCTGCCGCTTGAAATATTATGGGAAGGAGCTGCTGCACCAAGAATAATTCATGCATGTCAGGGCTTCTAAGAGGATAGTGACAGTAGTCTGGCAGGTTGGGACACAGTCTGGACGTACTGTATTCCTGCT